CGTGCATGGTAATTAATTGTTGTAGAAGTATAACCGTCTTCAAGTAACTTTCATAAACCAGAACATTGAACTCCCCTTTGCTTTTGAATTTTACTTACATTAACTTAGCAAACAAAGAGATTGATACTTCTTCTATGGCTAACCAACCCTTCTCCTTCATTGATCAAACATATGAAGAGGCACTGGACAATAATGGTCGTCCTCGAAAAAACTCACATGCATTTATTAGCCATACTTACCTGCCTCCATTTATACAAATCATGGAGGCTTATACAGAGTACACACATTTAGAACAAAAGCTTGCTCACATGGACCTCGAAGGCTCTCCATCCACCCCAAAGGTCTCCACTTGGGATAAGGCTGTCTCTTCCTCTATAAAAGTTACTAGTTTGGATATCTGACCAAAATTGTCCCAATCTCAGACAAGGAAGTGAATTCATCATAAATTTGTTGAATTCGATGACCCCACTTTGGTTTTTCTTTCTTCTCGCAAGTTAGTGGTATACACTTACATACTATTTGATCGCCTTCGCTGCCTGGAAGACAACTTACTTTCAATGTGGTATACCTCCACTTTGCCAACAAAAATAGTGCGAAAGACTCCCAATCCAATCAAGCTCGAGGACTGAGTCCTTCACACTTGGCCAAGAAGGCAAAACTCTGCTCTTCTGACTGGCTATAATATGTGAATGGGCCCCAATTTCCACCTTCTTTTGGAATGGACTCAACTGCAACTCCCTTTCCTCATAATCTTAACTAGATTGAGGAATTGAAACTCACCCTCTTCGAAGACCAACATTTTGCCCCATACCAAGCCCTATCTCTTCTCACTGTCTACCAGCAATATAAAGCCCAGACTCTGCTTGTTGCCTTCTCCTACTTGACCTTTGAAGTGCTTCGAGATGACACTCCTCAGAAGAACCTTCTCTGGGCTTGTGATATAGTCTGTCGAAGCTATATCCTTAATCCAGTGGCTCAGACAGAGTTCCACACCTTCTTGGACCAACTCCCTCTCCTGCTCAACTGGCATAAAAATGCCATGGCCACCAACAAATCATTGGAAGAGATCTCTGTCACTCATATTCAAACCCAATGCAAAACAGAGAATCTCCTTGAAGACTACGAAGATTTCAAGAACAATGACTCAGCATATAGAGAAGATACTGACATGGATGGGATGGACGAGGTGGAGAAGGCACTAAAGTAGACGGAGTTTGAAATGAAGGCCCAACAATTTTTCTACCAAATAAGGGCACACCAGCTAGAACGGACCCAATTAAATAGGATTGAGGAAAGGTTGGAGGGAGAACATGCATTCATTGAATTTTGCTGGAATAAGTTCCATGACCTTGTAACCTTTTCCATTCCTTATTTTTATGAAATTGAGTTAAACGCAAGTAGGCCCTCCAATGTAATTATTTATTTATTTAATAAAATATTGATTTCTTTCGTCCAATTACATGGTTTGTACTTGTTAATATGCATGTTTTTAATCAAACTTGTCAACATACTAGCAAATACAAACTTTGAAGCAATCCATTCATTTCGAGGCCAAGTCAGGTATTTTGAAGCACATTTTCTCTCTTCTAGAGTTAATAAAATGCTCTTTCAAAGGAAATTTACTAAGTAGAAAGTCCAAAAATGTACTCCCAAGACCCTCGAAATGTTAAATGGATCCTAACTCTATATGGGTCAAATAAAACCCGAATAGAATGAAACTACTTGACCCATCTGATTAAATGGGCAACTTACACAATAAGGTTTAATCATCGCACTCTTGCCCACTTACTTGCTCATTTCTTACTCTCACTCCCACTCGTACTCACGCCTGCTTTTACGCCAGCTCTTGCTCATCCTTGCCCTCACTCTTACTTCTTTAATCCCTTCTTCAACTCTCATTGATGGCTGTTTCTTCCTCCTCAAATTTGCCAGCCGTCAAACGCCTATGTCCCTCTGTGGCTTCAAGGAGATTATAGACGAAGAAATAGCCAAGTACAAAAAACCAGATGGCCAAAGTGTGATGGATGGAAAGTACTTCGTCCCTCACAATAGCGCAAAAGGGAAGTATGTCCTTGGCCCTATTTTACTAAGGTTTATGCCACATTTCCTCCCTTGTATCCTCGCTAGGATGATCACTACCTTCTCTATGAGAGGAAGTTCAACTGGGGAGGTTGGAGAACCTTTCGGCCTCATCGTTATTAGCCCACATCGAAGACGGAATGGGAGGAATGATATGATAGGGTTGTTGCCACCTAAGAACAAGACCTAGAGGACCTCTACATTCTTGATGCTCTCTATCTTTCCAAGTTCATAATCCCTTAAGACCCTTTTTTTTAGTTTGCCCCATTTGTTTTTGGAACCCAACTTTTAACTTTTTCCAATTTTGGGGTGGTATGATGGCCCCTACCGTTCTGGATATGTGCCATCTTCTAGGGCCCTCACCTATTGGTGATCCCTTCAGCCTAGATTACCTAGACCTTAAGGTCTCTTACTCTATTCCTACTTCAAATCTTTCTTATGGTGAATTCATAGGAGTTGAGAATAATAAAGAAAGTCTTGTGACGGGCTGAGAATTCTTTTCTTTCATTCTTTACGGGTCTTGCAAATTTCCTTTTGTACCTCTTATCAAAAAATAATGTCTGAATTTGTCCCCCTTGCCAAGGCTCTGGCTTTGAAGAAGAGGATAGCCCTTGCCCTCTATGTTTTAGGTCATGTATATAGAGTTTGTTCCCAATTTTGTGAGAGGCCTCTAGAGCCTAATCAAGGAGGCCTTATTTAGGTTATCCAATTCTGGATTTTTACTTAATTCACTGATTTTCACTCTTGTTACTTGAAATTCTTGGTGCAAGAGCTCACCACTTATGGAGAGAAGTATGCCATAGTTTCCTTAAACCCTTTCAGTTTTGCCTACTACTTTTCTTATTTCCACAATCTCCCAGCCTCCATTCACCCTTCTTTCTTCTGCCCATTCGATGTCAATATGAGGCCAACATGGCTGAGTGCATTCTTGTGTGACACCACATGCTTTAGGCCAAATCATAAGGAGATTTGGGCCTCAATTCTAGTTCCAAGGGAGCTCTTCATTGGTACCCTAAACCCCAAGGCCTACAAATGCATTACTGAGGCTTATTGCCCTGCTTAATTCGCAAGGCAATTTGGGCTTCCTCAAGGGATCCCAATCCCTCTCTACAGTCTCTCAAACTCTAACCTCGACACTAGAAACTTGAAGGTTTCAAGGCTCAGGCTAGATGAAGCAATAATCAAGGTTTTAAAGGATACCATTAGCTTTGAATGTATGCCTTTCATTGGTCATAGTGGGGTCATGACAAGGTTTCAAGATTGGTGGATAGCCAACATGGAGGTGTGTCTTGCCACTCCTACCTTGATCTTACTAAAAGAGTTGGATGTACCAGCCCAAGGTGGAAAATCCAAAACAATAGAGGCTGGTATCACCATTGCTTCCACTTCTATTGTTTCAGCTCTTGCATTCAAAATCACTAGGGCTACCACTAAAAAAGGTACATGTCTTGCATCTTCTTTTGCCTTCTTTCTTCCTCTCATTATACCTTTATCACTCTCAATATTTCTTTTTATTAGCACAGGGGCTTTGTAGGAGGCCTCACCTCAATGAGCACAAGCCTGGGTCACATTGAAGGGCAAACAGTAAGAGTTGAAAAAAAGAAAGGCCCAAATAAAACTTGAGCCTGTAGAAGAGGCACCTGGGGTACCTCAAAAAAAAAAAAAAAAGTCTCCATTGAAAAGGAGGAAAAGGCCAGCCTCTCCCACAGCCAAACTCAACATAGACTTTGCTCACGAAGCAGCTGCTCAGGCAGTGGAGAAGGAACAGGTCAAGGAGGTCCTTGTGTTCCAAAGGTCAGAGAAGAAGAGGCAATAGAAAGTTTCGAAGGAGGGGGCTGCTACTACTGAGACAGCACAAAAAAGGCTGCAAGAAAAAGTCAAGTTGCAAAACATCATACCCTTCGTAGCTCTCCAGTCACCACTACTACAACTGCTGGTAACTTTCTTTACTCCTTAATGATGTTTCCCCTCACATCCCTCGCATCAGCATTGCCTTTATACTTTTTCTTTTGAAATGCAGAAACAACTAGCCTGCCTCTTACATCTTCAATGCCAGCTTCTTCCTTTCTTGAGGGATTTGAGAGGCCTCACCTTTGCTCCACAAGATTAGTGACTACAAAAGGAAGAGGAAAAGAAGATACCAGTTCTCCAATGAGTGTAGAGCCCCTACAAACAATGTATCCAATCCCTACCTTTACATGTCCTGCATCCACTTTCTCAATTCCTTCGAGGCCTGATATGTCAATCATTCTCTCATCCTCATCTCCTATTCATGGCACTATTAAGCTTCTTAGTTTCCCCCTGGTGATAATTGTCTCACCTCTACGTGCCTCTATATCCTCCAGAGTCCTAATAACCCCCTTGCTTTTGGAGAGTACTCTTGTTGCCACTCTTGCTTCGGTGGCAGCCGGTACTTCTAACGGTGGCACTGGTAGCACACCAATACTTCCTTTATTGCCCAGCTCCAGTCCCACTTCCTTAGACTTACTGATGGCCAGGACTATGGATGCTGCTAAGACATCTTCATCTCTTTCTCCTGTACTAATTCGTTCAGCACCTCCTTTCATAAGTGGCCCTTCTACAATACCCTTTTCAGAAGAGGAGATGGACATTTTTGAAGCCCAGCTAGTAAGCTTATTTGATACATCTACACCAGCTCTTCCAACCGGTAGTGATACTGAGCCACTAGACTTAGGTGACTCTTTACTGGAGATAATTAAAAGCTCCGTTGCTGCTGAGTCCATCTCATTTCGTCAAGTAGATTTGGGCACTTGCTTAGAGTTGCTGAGGTCCTTCTCGAGGATTCTATTTGAGGCTTTACAGTAACCAACTATCAAGGATGGATTCCTTAAGTGTTGCTAGCTCTTCGAACAATCTAATGTTGCCTTCAAAGGCCATTTAACCGAGGCAGCACCTTTATGTCAACATCTACCAAATGGCTGAGGCTGCATAGAAGGAGCTCTTAAAAGACAAAGAGTTTGTTTTCCACATTCATTCTGAAGTTTCAATGCTAAAAGGACAACACTCCTCTGCCTCACAACTTTAAGCTTAACTCTTACATAGGAAGGCAGAATTAGAGAAAGAGCTAGGAGCAGTCAATCTAGCTTTGGAACAGAACGCAAAAAGGCTGCACACTTCACACCAGGGGCTATCAAGCCACATGCAGGAGATGAACACTACCATACAACTATTCCCAACACTCCAAAATAGAGAGCTTATTGTACGGGAACAGTTGAAACATTGTAATGAATTTTGGGCCAATTTGTGGCGTAATGTATTTAAATTTTTATGAAATAAAACACTATTATTTTAACACAAGTGTTTATTGTCTTTACTTAATTTCCATATAGTATTTAGACTTCTTGTGTCTCCTATATGGTTCGGTAATAAGGTTTCAAATATTTTCCATTAATCTTCTTGGAATGCACATATCCATTTAAATTTCTTAAATGGTAGACTCCTCCAGGCAAGACTTTATGGACTTAGTATGGTCCCTCCTAATTAGGTGATCATTTGCCAAACTTTTGACTTTTAATTCCTGTAGGAAGTATTGTTTTCCAAACTCAGTCTCCCTCATCAAAGCTGATGTGTTGAACCCTTTTATTATAACTTTTGGCTACCTTTTCCTTTTGTAAAAGGATATGATTTAATGCCAAAATTCTGGCTTCATCCACCCCTTCTAACTCTAGATGCATGTTTTGAGAATATTGATTAGCACTTAGATGGTCTTGGCATTTTACCCTCAAGGACTTATTATTGATTTCCACAAGAGGTACTGCATCATGCCCATATACTAAGGCATAAGGAGTAATTCTTGTGCTTGATCTTTGGGAGGTTCTATAAGCCCACAAAACATCTAACAACAAGTTGTGCCAATCTCTAGGATTGTTTTCCATAACTTTATGTATCTCCTTTTTCAAGGATTTGTTAGATGACTCTACCTGACCATTTGCTTGTGCATAATATGGGGTGGAGTTAACAAGGCTAATTCATATTTCGCTGCAAAAAGCTTTACTAGCTTTCCATCAAACACAGTCCTATTGTCCGCAGTTATGGTCTGTGGAATACCAAATCTATAGATTAACTCCTTGATGAAGTCAGTCACCTCTGTTTGATCCACAGTCTTACAAGGCTTAGCTTCAACCCACTTGATAAAGTAGTTTGTGGCTACTAGAATGAAACGATGCTGCTTCGAAGAATGTGGGTAAATTTTTCCTATCATGTCCATTGCCCACCCTCTAAATAGCCAATGCTTCAGTACTATATGTAGATTAGCTATTGGAACATACCTTAACATGCCATGCCTCTGACATGCTTGGCAACCCTTTGCATACTCTAGGCAATCCTTAAGGACGGTTGGCCAATAATAAAAATGCCTTCGAAGCAACCATTTCATCTTAACACCAAGCTAATGAGCACCACAAATATCTTCATGTACCTCAGCCATGGCAGTCAATGCCTCTTTTGGTCCTAGGCATTCCAACAGAAGACCATATGCTCCTCTTTTATAAAGAACATTCTCATATACTATAAATTGCATTGACTGCAGTTTAAGCTTTCTATTTGCCTTCGAATAAGGGCCAGTTAAATACTGAATGATTGGATGTCTCCAATCTTGTTCTTCCAAGTCACTTTGATTAGCCTTTACCAGTATACCTCATCTTGCTAATGGTGGTATTAGCTTCTAATATGTTGCTTGACTCATATCTATTTGAGTATTATCACTTCTTTTGAAATTCGAAGCCATCTCAGCCATATCATTGGCCTTGTGATTCATGAATCTTGGGATGTAATTTACATTTGCCACTTGGAATTGGGATAGCAAATGTACAACAACAACATAATATCGTAATAGGCTTACACTTTGACATTCAAAGTCTCATTTTACTTGATTAATTACTAATTGAGAATCCCCAAATATGTTAACTACATGAGCTTGTAAACCAATAAGTATTTCAAGTCCCATAACCAAAGCTTCGTACTCAGCTTGATTATTGGAACAAATGGTCTCATCAATTATGAAACAATGCCTAGTTTATGCCCCTTGTGGTGATTTGATTACAATACTAATCCCAACTAGATCGTTAGCTTTTGATCCATCAAACCACATCTACCATGGTTCTAAATCAGCTGTGTCAAGATCCATTATTTCTCGACTTTCTATTTGACATGGATGATCAGCTAAGAAGTTGGCCAACACCTGACCTTTTACTGCCTTTTGGGGGACATATTCTAAATGAAATTCTGACAATCCATTTGCCAATTATTCCTCTTAATATAGGTCTATATAACATATATTTAACCAAATTTGTGGTTATAATTACCAAGACAACAGTAGGCAAAAGATAATATCTTAATTTTATTGCTGCAAAGTGCAAGGTTAAACACAGCTTTTCTACAACTGAGTATTTACATTCACAAGAGTTTAAGAACCTACTAAAGTAATAAACTACTTGCACCTTCCTTCTTCATTGTCTTGAGCTAAGAAAACTCCCAATGATTCTTCAACTGCATTAATGTATAACTTCAAGGGTTTGTCCTTCCTTGGTGGCATCAGTACTGGAGATTTGGCCAAATAGGCTTTTATTCCTTCGAAAGCAGCTTGATGCTCTGCTGTCCAGTGAACTCTTCTTCATCTTTTAACTTTAACAAAGAATAAAAAACTTTTGTTTTCCCAGCAGTATTAGAAATAAACCTTCGAAAAAACTTAATTTGACTAAGAAATGTTTGCAATTATTTCTTACTTACTAGAGGCGTAGCCTCAATGATGGCTTTGGCTTTGTTCTAATCAATCTGTATTCCCTTCTTGTGTACCACATACCCCAAGAAGTTTCTAGCTGATACACCAAAAGCACACTTGAGTGGATTAAGCCTTAGCTTGAATTTCCTCATTCTTTTGAAGGCTACTGTCAGATGGACTAAATGCTCTTTTATGGACTAAGATTTTACAACCACGTCATCAATATAGCATTCTAAATATCCTCCAATCAGATCATGAAAGATAGTATTCATTGCTCTCTGATATGTTGCTCCAGTATTCTTCAATCCAAATGGCATCTTAACCCATTCGAAGGTTCCAATGTTTCCAGAACACTTGAAAGCTGCCTTGTGGACATCCTCCTCAGCTATGCATATCTGATTATAGCTAGAATGTCCATCCATCATGGACAAAAATTTATGTCTTGCTGAACTATCCACCAGCTGATCAACTATTGTCATAGGGTACTCATTCTTTGGGGTTACCAAATTCAGATTTCGAAAGTTAATGCATACCCTTAGTTTTCCATTCTTCTTGATCACTGGCACAATATTAAATAGCCACTCAACATATCTAGCTATTCTAATAAAACATGCTTTAATGAGCCTAGCAATCTCCTCATTTACCTTCTAAATCACTTCAGGAATCATTCGTCTAGGTTTTTGCTTATGTGGCTTAAAATTTGGCTTGACTGGAAGTCTATGGTCCACCAATGACTTATCCAATCTAGGTAGATCATTGTATGACCAAGCAAAACAGTCCTTATACTATTTCAGGATAGTCAATAACTGGTCCTTAGCAATGAGGTCCAACCAAGCACTGATGTAGGTACATTGTTATATTGAAGTTTCCTCTAAATTAACTTCTTCCAAGGGGTCTTGTGTCTGAGTACTTACCAACGCTTCTCCTTCAGCTTCACCTAGCTTTGAAACTATCTTTTTCTCTTGATTTACCATAACCCATCTTGGTTCAACATCTTTATTTTTCTCTTCAAAGACAAAGTCTGTCCAAAAAGCTTCTTCTTCCTGGATTTCTTGGATGTTAGTCTCAATGTCCAATGCTCAATACTTATCCAGAGCCAATGACCTGGCTTCTTGTTGCTCATGCCTGAAACCAAGCATCATGGCTTCTATTTCTTCTTTCTGGACTTTCTAGACTATTGCATCAATGTCCAATGTGAAAAACCTAACTAAAGCCAATGGTATGGCTTTTTGATCCTCCTCCTACAACTAGGCATTATTGGTGTCCTTGATGATGTACTCATCATTAACACTTTCTTGAACTAAGTGTTTCAGGTATACCACTTCCTCATCATTTGTTGCTTCAACTGTTACATCAGGCTTCCTCAGCACACTAAGTGGAACCACCCCCTCAGTATACAACTTTGCTTCTGCGAAATCTGTACTTACAACAAAGGGCTGTGGGTCTACATTTATCTCTTCTATCTTTCCATTACTTAGGGCTATCATCACCTTCTGATGCAAAGAGGTAGGCATACGTTTGTTATTGTGGATCTAATCTCTATCAAGTAAGGCATGGTACTTAGCATTATACTTGGCATTACAAGGAAAGTAATCATGCAGTCTCGTGTCCCCACACTCAAGTTAATGGGCAATATGCCTTGAGCCATCTGTTTATCCTTGCAAAAACTAGCAATGGTTGTGTTTGTTGGGAATAGCCTAGGGCTCCTCTTATCCAACTTCCTCAAGGATGATCAAGGAAGCAAATTCACTACTTCCCCATTATCCACTAGTACCCTATTCATTTATATTCCATCAAAATATGCCTTGATATATAGAGGCTTAACATTGAGTCATAAATATTATGGGATATTCGAAGGGGTATAACAGTATGACTATGCTTACCTCTTTCCATGGGTTTGGCCACTTCTGACTCATCCTGGATCATGCTGATCTATGAGTCTTCACTAGAAACTTCTACAAGATCATTTTCTTGACCCTTCTGATTTCCTTCTTCAGCTTCAAACTCTTATGGCGACACATAGACCATGTTGACTGGCATTGGAGGAAATGAACCAAACTGTACCACAAGCTGCATTTGTTCCCCTTCTGTGTTGGTCCACATCGATGTCTGAGATGCATCTTCTATACAACACTCTAGAACCTCTAAGTTAGCAGGCTCTTTTGTAGCAATCTGTTGTTAGTTTGCCATGAACACAAACTCTGTTTGCTCAACCATAAAGGCTTCGAACATCTCCTCCTCAGCCAATATCCTCTCCTAGCCAGGTTCAATTTCTTCATCTATCTCATTCCCATCATTGCTTTCCAGTAAAGCCTTTTCGAGGCTTGCTAAACTTGTTTTTTCTTTGCTTTTAGTTTAGCATGAACCTCAGCCAATCTTTCTTTACTGTTTTGACTTCTGATGACCTTGGGATTAGGCTTCAAACTTTTCCCTTCTCCTAATTGATCTCCTGGTTACACCAAAGAGGTGCCCTCGCCAGCTTCGTGTAGATCCTTCTAATATCGAGTGAACCTCCGTTGGATCTTTCTCCTCTGAGATCTGGAAATCACAAGAACCATATCTGATTTTTTTGTCTTTGGATTTTTTAGCAGGACCCAGATGTTTGGAGGCACCAATAGAGGCTTGACCATTATGTCCCTGCCTGCAAAGGCTCTCTTCTAGGTTGGTATCATTTTAGGTTTACTTTGCATAACAAACCAATATGGTACTCCTGGTACCCATGAACCCACCATTCCAGTAGTTTTTCCTATTGTTCTCATCTTCGAAGGCCAATCATTGGCCTTGGTTTCCTGTCTTGAGCCTAAGTTAGGCTTACTCACAGGCTTGTTGATCAGTTTGTAGTAGTTTGGTGGCCTTGTCTCATACAAGGGTCTCTTGCCCCTTGCATATGATTGGTTTCTAACTTTTGATGGCGTAGCCAAAGATATCTGCTGTCTAGGACTATTCGGGTAGACCTTCTTGTATGTACTACGCTCCTTCTACACATCTTTATAGTACTGCTTCCCATCAACTGGAAGCCCTTTCAACCACTTGTAACTTAGCCTGCACCTTGGACACATCGGCTGCATAACTACTGCTTCAAGTGCATCATCATCCAAGGTGTTGGTTTCTTCACTGGAGCCATTTTCCTAGCCTACGAAGCTCTTCCTACGCACTGGTGACTCCTGAGTAGTCTTCCTAAAGGTTGCTTAGCTGGCAACATGCATCTGCACATTGACTTCATCTGGCTCGTTTAAGAAAAGGCTCTTCTCCATAGTTTGGGCAAGGAAATCTAGCACACCAACATTGGATGTTGCTTCACTGATCTCAGGAAATGGATCTGTGTCAATCCCCATTGATTTTTCTGCTTTGGCTAGAAACTTTAGCCTTCCTTTCCGAATCTACTCTTGAATCCTGTCTCGAAAAACAATACAATTTTTAGTTAAATGAGACCAAGAGTTATGCCATTTATAGTACATTTTGCCTTTAATTTCTTCTGAAGTTGGGAT